TAAATTTTCTCTCCTAGCTAGCCACGTTCACTTGACAAAGTTTGAATGAAAGCTGAACGACAGATTGCACGTGCCTCGAGAGTCTCTTTTCGAAAGATATTTGAAAGCAGTATCCCAAGAGAGCGAGTCTGTGAATATTTCGAAAAAGGAGAAAAACGACGTTACTCTCCGGCATCTCGCGGTATTACATAATAGATTACGTATTTGTGGTTCCGTTTGACAAACCGGAACGTCGGTTGCAAGAGACGCGTTTACACGTACCGATACTTGGCATTTCGCCAAGAGGAGCGCGACGGAAGTTGGCCGTGTCCTCGCCGGCAAAGTTGAAAAAGCAAATTTACCGGACGATGCACACGCGGTGGTTTCGATGGTTGGTTTCGTTCGTAGCGTATGGACGTGTGGGAATATAACATAACGCGACGAATTGGCTGACATTGATTGTTAAAAAGTACGTAAGACGTCCGTGTATCGCGAATAATAAATCATCATGAAAACGATGACTTAATGTTACGATTGAAAAAAATTACGGTTTAAAGAAAATCTTTCAGACTGCAGGTTCGACATAGTTTCAAGCCGCGTTCGTACACGCAGGATAATCCGATGGCGAAAACTTTATTTCCTCGCAATTCCTGCGACCTTCCAGTCGTTCGCCAACCAATTTCGAATTATTAACGCTACAATATACGACGAACGAAGTATAAAACTTCCATCAGAGACATTGAAATAAAAGGAATAAAAATAACTTAATAATATAACCTTGCACGGGAACTTTTGTTCCTACATTTTACGAAAAATCATTTAAATCTCTAAAAATACATTGTTTCGCATCTAGAAGATTTCTAGGAAAAATTAAACAAATCGGCCATTTTCTCTGCAATCTTATAATCGCGGTTTCCAACTGTTACCTCTTAATTAGGCTTTTCATTTGTAAGTAACCTTCTCTTCTCGTAAACTTCCACCCATCTCTCAAAAAAGTTTGTTTTTTTCCTATTTTCTTAGGTTAAATAAATAATTGAACGACTCGAATTGACCTAATGACGTTTCATATATCGACACTGTATAACTTTGCTTTTGTGTTTTTATTTTAACTTCTTTCCTTCGGCCGTTATTAATATTATTTTCGCGAACCCCTGGAGTATACGTGGAGTATTAAAGCTGTACAGCATTAAAATCGCGGTATTTGATTTTTTCTTTCAGTGTTAGAATTAAATTCTGCCAAAAATGAACAAGTATTCGAGTGTATATCCAATGGCCTCTAGTAACATAAATAGAAACGACAAGAACGGTGACTTTATCATTATTGCGGTTTCGACGTTTCCGCTGGTACGCAAATGATCAGCCAATTTGATAAAAAAAAAAAAAAAAAAAACGTCCTCATTAATTCGTAGTTAACGAGTATAGTTAAATATACATACGTAACTGATATATATTATTCAGACGAATGAGTTGTATTTTACGAACGACTCACGCGAAGGTATTTGAACATTTATTGTTGCCTTGTGAATTCTCCTGCACAAATGTTCATGCCATTTAAAAACAGCAGAAAGAAAGAAAAGAAAGTAGATGCGATTATTAAAAAAGTTCGTTGTAACGATCGGTGAGTACTATCGTAGTCTAGACCAGCGGTTCCCAATCTTTATTGTGTTATTCCCAATCTGATTAGAATTTTCATTAACGAGTGAAACCTCCTCCTCTCCATAGATCGCAATCTGATAGTTCTCTTGAAAAATAGCAAACAAGTTTCTTAATTATTTAATACTGTGAACGCGTGCGTTCTAACAGCGACTTTATGGCTCTGCACACGCGGATGTAGTGTTTATATTTCATTAATAATGTCAACAGTTTGTTTTATCGTTTGATTATTTAGATTCACACGATGATAAATCAAATGTTAGTGAAACCTAATATGAAAATCACGCAAAATAGACATGAGCGCGTCCAGAACCATAAAGTCGCTGTTAGCACGCGTTAAATGATGTCTATATTACGTGATGTTTATATTTCGAATAATGTTAACAATTAGTTTTATCATTTGATTATTTAGACTTACATTGATGTAACTACGATAAGTCAAACGTTAGTGAAACGTAATACGAAAATTACGTAAAATAGACATCCACGCGTCGAGAACCATAAAGTCGCTGTTAGAACGCACGCGTACGCAATGTTAAATGATTAAGAAACTTTCTTACCATTTTTCAAGAGAACTATTATGTTGCGACAGATGGTTCCTCAGTAAAGTTTTACCTTCGTGACGAGTAGAATACAAGAAATGCAA